ACTGGTTAAATGCCACCTACATATTTATTCATTAATATTTTTTAGTGGATTTATATACCTAGTATATGTCTTTCAAACAAACAGAAGACAATACACACCCAGACCCGTCAGTGGTGTAAATCAGTCTGGCTCCATTTATTTCACTGAAACTGCAGATTTACATCAGTTCAAAGTCTGACTCAACAGGCGACAGAAGTCAGTTTGATTAATTTGAAGGGCATAATAAGGAGTAATGGGACAACATTAAAAGAAAACTTTGGCTGAACACTGATTCAGTGACAAGTTATCAGTTGAATTAAACTCACTTCTCCTCGTGGGTGACTACCAGTCACTTACGTTTTTTAACCAGTCTCATTACAGAGAAGACCAAATAAGAGCTGATGTTCCCTGCAACTTTTTGAGACAGTGTTGTACCAGTGCCTATGCACACCCTGGGGCTACATGAATCTAACGGTAATAAATATGGCCATACAGAAGGCAATGCACACCGATTATCAGATCTCACAGAAAGCTTCACATGCTTATCTGGGATAAGATATCTGGAACAAGGTAAAGCATTGGGATGAGCTCAAATGTATTCTAGGTCTTGCTAACTCAGTGGGAATTGCAGTAGCAGCTAATGGCATAATTTTATCTTGGAATTCTAATCCAGGGAGATTTAAAGCAAGTAATAAAAATAATATAGACCTAATTATCACACAAATCACCAATGGCTTGAGTAAATAGGAAGCATCCCCTTAAGCCAATGGCAAAAAATAAATCTGATAAAAATGAGTGCAGTGCTTGGATTAATAAATACTCTCTGGGGGCTCCCAACGCTACTGTTTTTACTTGTCATGAAGACAACTCTGAATGTAAGATGACCCCCCAGTAATCAGATTCATACATGGAAAAATTAAAAATGTCTAGAATCTACTTATTTGAAGATCATCTTTCATTCATCCCCCCTGGAGCTGCAGCGGGGCAGGAAGCGCAGGAGCAGGTGATGTGGGGAGGTTAAACAGCTTACTCCCTACTTGTGCCTGCCCCCCTCCACTTCTGCTCCTCCACTCCCTTCCAGTCTCCGCTTCCCCCTACCCTTCCCCAGTTTCTCTGCTCCAACTTCCCCCTACCCTTCCCCCCAGCCTCTGCTCCCCTTCCCTCCTCCCCCAGCCTCTTTACTTCCCCCTCCTCCCTATCCTACCCCAGCCTCATTGCTCCCTTCTCCCCCCAAAGTCCTTAGCAGTGTTCCCTGCCAGCAGGCTCTATCCCTGTTTGAGCCAGGGGCACTGAGCACAGCCCAAGCCCAGGCCCTGTAGGACCTGAGGGCTGCATGCTGCTGCTATGGGGCCAGGCTAGAGCCTTGCTCAGTTCCCCATGGAGCCTGCTGACAGAGCAAAGGTGAGTGGGGAGGGCAGAGGGGCAGACAGGGAAACAGAGGCTATGTGTAGGGTGCAGATGGGAAGAATAGGTTGAGGGGGGAAATGGTAGATGCAGAGGTGGCAGGGGGTGGGAGAGCAGGCAGCAGCTGTGGCTACAGCTCTGATGCTGGGTAGGAAGCTGGAGCCACTGCCTCTCCCCCTTTTCCCCACACTGCCCTTGTACTGAATTCTAAGATGAGGGGATTCCCCCCCCCCACCATTTAACATGGGGGGGAGGGGATATCACCCTGGAATTGAGTAACTATGGTATTACAAAAGAATCAGTGATGTCCTTCAATGATTTGGAGGAGCAGGGAACCTCCTGCATAACTCTTAAGTTTCACCAGAGAAGTTGAACTGGGAGGGTGTCGAATCCCAATGTGGAGGTAATATCATGCTTTAGTAGTAAGCCAGGTCGTGTAACAAGCATTTGGTGTTACATACAATGCCTACATGTCTCAGTATCAGAGGGTCCTTTACTCTATTGCCTTTTGCAGGCCAGTTAGCTCTGCTTTTAGTTCCTCAGGCAGTTCAACTTCCACCAAACAAACTTCAGTTTCTAACAGAACAAAACAAAATCCTCCACATTCTTTGGACACAGGATGACAAATATTTCACTCTAGCTTCACCCCAGCACAGCAGCCTTGCTTCTTCTCTTTACAAGGTTTCCATTACAGCTTGTTCTTCTTCTGCTCTCCCCTCTGGGTTTTTAAGTTCCCAGTGGGACACTCCCTTCTTATTACACAACGTCCCACAGCTGAATGGCCTTGACAGGGCTGACCTTTCTCAAGGGGACAGACCACCCTGTTATGCTTAACTTTTGCCTCCAATGGCTACATTAGATTTGGGATCCTATTATTATTAGAAAAGATCTATTCCCTACCATCTTATACTACCTATCAGATATAGTCTGTTTTGGCAAACAAACGGAAATTCCAGGTCGTGTAAGGGATTGCACTTAGAAGAATCTCATACTACAAATGACAGAAAGATGAAAAAGTGGGAGGAATATGGCCCACTATAGATCTTGCTATTACTAACCAAAGGGCCTTTCTGTTCCATTCTGTCGAAATCCAGCACAGCTTGCCAATGACTGCAATATAATATCATTTTCAAATCAATCACTCACTCACCTCAGAATTGTCTCTTCACTGCCCAAAGTACCAGAATTCCTCAAATTTTGTAGAGAGCTATACTATTTTCCCAGATCGGCAGCTGTGCTGCATGACTACTGAATGACCCACCAAAGAGTTAATACAGATGTAATGAGGCAAAAATGGAACAAAAAACTGACAATAAATATCTCATCCCTGCAGTGAAGCTGAGTGATACACAAGATTAAAGAAGTGACCTTGGATCTTGGATTATATATTGTTCAAGAAAAAAAGATTAGTGTGCATTGGTCACCCCAATGCCTGGGCATGCTGCAGCCTGGGGCATTGAGCATGGCCTCAGCTTGGCCCCATAGCCGCAGCATGCAGCTCGCACAGCTGCTTTGGGGCCTGGGCTGTGCTCAGTGCCCCAGGCTCAAACAGGGACAGAGCCTGGGAACTTTGGATAAAGCATCCTGAGGCCATTTTTAAATGTGTGGGGGCTTAGGTTAGGTGTTTTAATTAGAGTGGCTGCCTGGGAACTGTTCTAATTAAATTGCCCCCCCCCACCACTACCACCTCTGAGCATGTGTATATGCAGCCTAAGTGCCTGGCCCTAAGAAGCTGATCCAAATGATCAAGTTTAGACATCTGGGATCACTATACAGTCCATGGAGAGACTCTGGACTTGTCAACAACACAGTGGCTGCTGTGCTTCAGCTGGACTGTTCTTGAGTGGTCTACACCCACCTGCTGCCAGTGATATGCTTCAAACCTGGAAATATAGCAGTGAGACTACTTTGGAGCATCTTTCTCTGGCTCATCATTAGGGCTTGGTCTCTGGTACGCTTGAGGCTAGTTACTTGAGACAACCCTGGAGTGACTTTAGCAGCATACTCTTCAGCTTGGAGCACATCAGCAGCAGCACATGAACAAGGTGTGCTCTGGAACATTTAGTTAATTAACACTGGTGTTACAGTATAGACATGCACTTTAGGTGCTTCTGAAGAGTGATCCAAATAAGGTTGACACCAAAACACTCTATACAGGGAATGGACGAGATAGGCACTTCCAAAGGTCAAATTCAGAGACCCTGAAGATTTTGAGAGCTGACCAGTAAGAAACACTAAGGTCAGGAGTTTGTCTGAATTCCCACCTCTCTCTGGAGCTTAGGCTATAAACAAGTGTCATCTCTGAAGTAGGATCAGCTGTACTGGGATGCATCCTGGCAGGGCTGATCCACTTCATTGGCATCTACAGATATCACCAGGGCTCTTGTCCCACAGGTAAGGCCTTTGCCACTCCTGGGGCTTCAGGGGCCCGATCCTCTAGGACAATGGCCCTGGCTACCGCACCCCAACTCAGAGCATGTGTCTGCAAAAGAGGGAACTCACATAGGGGTCCCCTGCTTGAAAATGGGCACCATAGGAATTCCCTGCATGGGATTCTTACAGTATGTGTATCCCATTGCTAAATCCCAGTTCAGCAAGCTTGCAAACACATTCCCTGAGGCAAGGTATAGCAATCTGATACATGCACCATGGGAATCTTTTGCAGGGGCATTCCTGGGGTGTGCATCTGCAAGCATGCCCAGGAATACCCCTGTAGCAGAATTCCCATGGTGCACAATAAGAAAAGAGATGTCTTCCCACCTAAGGTGCCACAAACTGTGATTACCTTTGGTCACAGCAACATTTGGGGCAGTTGGAGTGTGACAAGAGGCAAGGGTGTCATCTTGCTCACAGCTTGTGTCATCATAAAAGTTTTTATGGTGGCATAAAGGTAATAAATGTTTGTACCCTTAGACACCTAAGTCAGACTACACATTAAGTATTCCTGTTCACTTGGGATCTATAAAACCTCATTCCATTTCTGAGGTTGTGTGTCTAACAAAACTACATTTTCAAAGGCATCTTGCCTCCTATTGATTTCCCTGGGAATTAAGCATTAACATGCTTACATTCTTTTTAAAATCCCTTTAAGTTCTAATTGGAAGAACTGTGGTGGAACCATTTTTTCACTGCAGAATGCAGTTGTAATGTTTTGAGAAACTAGTTTAAAACAATATTGCCAAAATTCTGTTTTAAAGAAACAGACGGAGAAAAGTTCTGATAAAACTTTTTTATCTTTTCCTTTTTAAATTCATTTCTATCTAGACTTTAATATGCATTATATAGTATAATAAACAGTCAATCAGAATTTCAGAGAGAATTTTCTTTTGTTGAGAATTGTATATTGTTTGGGCTTCATTTCTACTTGGAATGAAAACATATTTGAAAATTTCAAAATTCTGCATAAAATGGGTCTTCTGTTTTCCCCACAGCAGTACAGATCTGGAAATCTGGCTATTAATGGCTTACATTCAGCTAGATAGCTGTTATATATTTTTATACAAAGCATTTTCATTGTTAGCCTGTTAGCCACTATGCATATGGGAAGAGTAGGTTTTAAACGTCATATTTTGTGTGCCCAAAACACCACAGAGATTGATGACAGAAATTACCCTTACCTTCGTTCCATTTTGCCGTCTGACTCTAAGAAAAAACAGTAAGAAAAGGTGGTTAGCTAAGTTCTCAGAGATAGAAACACAAAGGAGATAGACCTGCTTATATACTAAGGTGACGTGTCCATGAGAACCTTGCTATGGTAGATTGGCTCTTACCTAGCAATCCTTACTGAGGCAAAACTTGTTGACTTCAGCAGG